ATGCATTCAGTCACTATGTAGTCATTGTGTCATAAAATATAATGGTATATGTAAACAAATAATTGCACTTGATATCATGTTTTGCATTATGTGCTAGAAATTATAAACTTTTAACAAACCGTACTGCAATAACTAAACACATCATATTAAAATACAACATGAAATACTGGAAAAACGACCCTCTCGACCGCCGAGTAGCTAAATAGCATATCCAAAACGCCGTGACACATACGAGTATTTAATATTTATGTTATTGAAATGCATTACATACATATTACATACATATAGTACATACATGATACATACATACATACATACATACACACGTACATACATATATATATATATATAAACATACATACATACATACATACATATACATACAAGCATACATACAAACATACATACATGCACAAACAACGTGCATTATATATAATAAAATGTTTAATTATATTTTTTAATTAAATTTGCTATTCTATTTTAAGTGTACGACGACTTTGATTTTCACTAAAATAAGGTTCATTGAATTGAGCAATGTATTTAATTTACATACAAAGTTGAAAATTTTTATATTATTATAAAAATATTAGTTTTCATAAACTCAATTTTCCTATCGATAACCTCATAGTTTTTCATAATAAACATGAAACAATTATAAACGAAAAATTATTGAAGTTCAAATAGTAAGCGTCGTTAATAACCTATAGAAATTATGGCCGTGGATTAACGTAGAAGAAAAATGACAGTTCATAAAACATTTTCAATCAAACATTTTTTATTATATTTAAATTATTCAACTGTTCACAATAACATATTATTAATTATATTTAATGAGATTAACTTCAGGGCCCGAGAAAGTAATACTTTAAAAAACTCTAGGCCGTACGGTAGTGGTGTCATAATAATGACATGAATTCATAAAATAAAAAATTCTTAACATACTTTTAAGTTTTTAACTCATTAAAATGTGAAAATAGTTTTCAACGCGATTGCAAAAATAAACGTAACGTGACGTTGGCGACATCAAGTAATACGACATGCAATATTGTCCAGTCATTTGTATGAAATAAAATATTATAATAACATATTATTTTGTGGCGCTTAACACTCTCTTGGTCGGCTCTATATAACGTTCTGCATAACATAAAATAATATTGTTGTCCAAGTAATATTTTCTGTGTCGAGAATTTTTTCATTTAGTTGTGCATTCGATCAACGCTATAAAATCATTATTATTTCATTCGAAACCGTGGCACACATTATTTCAAAATTATCCAGGCGTTATCCTCCTGCTGTTTTGAATAAAAGAAAGTAAAAAAACATACCTTTCCAATATTGTTTGTTTCTGCACAACGATTTACGATTCCAATAAATCATTTTGCTGATACACCTTTGCGAAGTGCGCTCTCGTGAGGTAGACGTAATTTTTTTTTTTTTGTAACTGAGTGCTAATTACGGCAGTAACACCTAAATCATGGCAGACTGTGGCGGTGAAACTTTGTTACAGGAACTGATAAGAAACTGATACAGCCTTGATTGCACATAATTCACGTTCTACCTCATTAAGCAGCACCGGGAACCTTCAAAAAAAGTACGAGAGAGGGAGATGGGGATGCGAACAGTGTGTGAGAGAGAGAGAAAGAGAGCCGAGCGACCGAGTTAAGAGTCAAGCAAGGTGTAATCGGGCCGCCTGATCAAAACGGAAAAGAGAGAGGAGAAATCGACGTGAACCCGTCGGATGACAAATGTATATTAAATCCCAACTAAAAGCCATTAAGGGCCCACCCGCTCCTGGCCTAGCAGTTTTGCTAAAATCTTAGCACCCCGTGCTCTGTACTCGCAGCACAAATTATTGTTTAAGTTTCTCTCGTCCGGTCCATACACTACCCGAGCGGTGCACAGATATCCGCCCGGCAGCCGCAGGAATTCGCTCGCATCAGTTTTGCCTTCCCCACCCCTCCAAAACTTTGCGCCTTAAATCAGATATCTTTCGAGTTGTACCCAATACCGTGAATTATGACGCATGAAGATATTGGCCCTCTGCCCCCGCCGCCGCCCACACACACACCGCGAGTTGATTTTAACGACCTTAGTTGGAACCGTTCAACAATGTGTGTAATATAATATTCAATGCGCTCACCACCGGTGGCGGTCGTTCCTGAAAAGTTATATATACATATATATTATATGGAAGTCTTATTGGGACGTATATACGACGACGACGTGGCCGCCACCGCCATCGTCTTGGCAAAACAATATAATATAATACATCCAAGTGCATTCCTCGAAAACAACACTGGCCAAAGATAATAATATTGTTATTGTAGGCGTCGACATTTATAATATTAGATTCCAAATATTGTACGTATATATCCGGTCTCCTATTATTTTAACTCGAACACATATCGCAACAACAATAACCGCCAACTAATCGAGTCGATAGGACGAAGTAACAATTATTATAATATTATATATTATTCAAACCTAAGTAATAACACTCTTCAATGTGTTACGGTCGCTTGTTCAGTGTATGCACACACATAATATAGAACTTTGTTGTCTCTATATAGTAGGACGGTGTAGAGCCGATGTTTAAACTATATTATTAATTACGTATTAAACAACCACTTAGTTTTCAAAGCGAAATACTTTCAAAAAATGTGCTTTTCAATCCGTTAGTCGTCCTGGAAAAAATTTTTATGCATAGGAATTATTATTTTAAATACATATTTTTATATCTGTTAATATTTTATATTATTTAAGTTTATATTGTACGAGTCCTAAAGAAAAAAATCCTTTTGCGGCGGAGAAAATATGTTTTTAGGAATATGACGTTTCATTCTTCCTTGAAATGTTATTTTCGTAGGTCGTATATTTATGTTAAACATAAAACTTTTTATTTTTATTTAAACTTTGAGTAATTCAATTTGCTCGACAATTGTTTTTACAAGAAAATTACTGGAGAGTTGTTTAAGAGTCTTTCGGTGACAGTTTAAAAAAAATACAAAATATAAAATACAAAATTCATCATTCAACCGTGGAAACTGTCATCACTGCGTGCAGAAAGTTCATTAACGCTGTCAATCCAAAAGAATCGTCTAATTTATTATCTGACCGTCAAGAAACGTTTAAAAAATAATCACCCAGAAAAAATTACGAAGGCAGTATGCGTATACAACGGCGTGGGATGTGATGGAATAAAACTTTGCCAGCTGTCAACGTGAACGCAGTTGACATAAATAAAATATTAAATTAAAAATAAAGAAGGAGACCGCCGTTGTCATTCAGTTGCTGACTAATTATTCAATTTTTTAACTCCGCTGTTAAAGTAGAACGAAGGTTCTCGAAGTGTATCACAAGTCGGTTTCGTTTAACAAAAGTTTGATTGAATAAAACAGCTTAATGCGGCTCTGTTATTATTTTAAATTCTGAGCGAAGCGATGAATGTATTGATTTTACAATGATGTGTGTTTTTGTATTCATTATTTATTTATTTTTTGGTTTTTTGACTGGCATCAAGGTTTGGGGTACTCAAAGTGTTTCAATTTTCGTCTACAGAAACTTTTCTAGTAGGAAAGTAAATCTGGTTGGTGGAGTTAGCGACAGGAAAAACACACAACAAATTAAAGAACAACGAGAATTTTTACACAAAACCAGTTTTAAAAAAAGTCGGTTTCGGTTTCTAGAGTTACTCTAAAAATACGACCACAAATTTATGACATTTTCCAAGAATATTTGGGTTAGAATTTTCTAATAGGAATAATATTATATTTTCTAATATTATCTTATAGGAATATGTCATTTTCGGTTATTTTTTGGTTTTTTTAAACTATCAATAAAGACATTTTTCACCCCGTCAAAAAACTTGAAAGTATAATACAAGGTTTCCTCGTAGGTTGTTGTCAGTGGAAATTAAAAAAAAAATTCCAACATTTTTTTGCAGAGAGTTGTACCTGTATAAAATAAACGATGAATAAAATGCATAATATTTATTCAGTATAATAACGTTACATAGAAAATTTATAAATGGTATTTCTTGTACTTCAATTTTGGTAAGGTATTTATTAGTAGACTTCCGGCAGCAATTACCCAATGGTGCTCCCGCCATCCGTAATACTTCGAGCAGGAACACAGGCGTATCACAAGCTGTGCTCAAATACACGACTACTGACGGAATAAAGAGATCAGCCGACCACCGATCTGTATCTATTATTTGCAGTAATTCTACAATGGTCAAAAAAGGGCGCCAACACTTCCAGCATGACTACTCGAGCCTTCCGCCTGTTCTTCTCAAACCGAAAACCGGAGTATCACAAGCAGCTCTCAAATACACAGCTAGAGACAGGATAAAGAGAACGACTCTGCTTCACAGCTGAGCCGTGGGTCTTAACTAACATTTCAGATTGGAGTATACAGATTGAATTTTTTATACATTTTTTTGAAGTACATTGACCTTTTTCATTAGTTGCAGTATATTAAATTTTGGACCCCCGAGCTTCGGACCCGTGATGTGAAAACGTGAGCATTAGTTTGTACTCGTATGTGGCATTATAGTTTATTGAATTTCATGCCTTTAAAATACATTGACCAGAATCACTTTTATATCCCGTGATGAAAATGAATGTATTAAGATAATTAAGATTTTCATAGCGAACATGCGAGTAATATTATGAGCCAAAAAATGTCAATGATTTATACAATAATATAACATATTATTACATAATATCGTTAAAAATTATTTGGTTCATAATATTATGTTTGCTATTGAAATATTCACCTATTATTTTCATACGTTCATTTTCATGCCGAGAGATAAAATTTGTAACGGCTTAACATTTGTCTGGAATGAAAATGAACGTATTAAAATGATAAAGTAAAGATTGCAATAGCAGAAATAGAAGTATTAACCAAAGAAATCTAATGATTTATATAATAATATAACATATTATTACATAATATCGTTAAAAAATGGTTGGTTAATAATATTATGTTTGCTATTGAAATCTTTACTTATTATTTTAACAAGTCATTTTCATGCCGAGAGAGACAAATTTGACCGTTTATTGGCCAGCGTATTTCAAACGTTTGAAACTCAATAGGCTGCAATCCAGAAGTAAACTCCTAAATTGAAGTAGAAAAAATAATTAGCTTGAGGTGACTTCATTTTCACTTCTTCGCTTCACTGCGGATTTGGTGTGTAGCGAGTTGTGGAATACGGAGGGGCGTCGTGTAAGTAAGTGACTTTGGTTTCGCCGAGAAGGAGAGGCGTTCGTCCAAGCTCTCCTTTTTTGGCACAGGTCGGTGCTCTGCCAATCGCTTTATCCTGTCTGTAGCTGTGTATTTAAGAGCTGCTTTTGGTACTCCGGTTTTTGGTTTGGGCGGAGCAGGGCGAGGGGGTGCCACTCGAGTAGTCCTGCTGGAAGTGTTGGCGCCCTTTTTTAACCACGGAAGTGGGCGGCGAACTACTGCAAAATAATAGGTACGATGTAATTAGATGATATAATACTCCATTGATAGTATTGAGAAATTGAAATGCTTTGCATGAAAATAAAAAACGACAGCAAATCAAGTGAAAAAGAGCTGAGGTCACTGGTCTAGATGTGTACTGAAATTATTCTGCGTAGGTACCTATAAGTGTTTTTTTATATTAATCATCCGATAAAGGTTTTTTTTCGAGAAAGGGTTGAATACAGTATTTTATTGCTAGAGTTAGGTTACTACCGGGTATGGTAAGATTGATATTTTGGGGGTCCTATCGCGTTCCCCTAGCTAGACAGCACTGCTACAACCCACACAAACATTTGCAACGATAATAATATTATTGCACGATTTTCGCATATGAGAACTTGTACCGTTAGCGCTAAAGTTGGTTACCTTGGTTGGTGGCAGCCATCGAACTGAGTGGTTTACCAAAATAAGCCTCCGGATCATCATAGTTTCGGTGCACCACATACGGACAACAACTAAAACTCAATCCCAGTTGGGTGACATGCCGTGGCTTCGGAATCGAGCGCGATGGTGCATTTTGGCTGACGGCGACCAGCAGAGGATTGTCATCTATCATCATGCGATCTGAGCCCGAGTCAACGGACAAGGCTTGATCCGTGTTCTCCTCGCCACTAATATGAGATTCGATAAAAGCCATCCAGTCCTTGTCCGTCGGTTTGAACGGCATATTTTTCAACAAACGTTGAGCGATAAAATCAAAATTTGAAATTTTATTTTTAAAATATTTGTAATATGGTTTTAAAACTATGTAGACTTTTATGGTATATTGAATTAAAAATGTGTCACTGATATAATATAATATATTGAAATCGTTTTTAAGGTTGCTCGGTGATGTAACTATGGATCAAATATTTTATTATTTAACATAACATAAGAAATTATTATAGCCATGACTGTCTAAGATGCTGTTCTATTCGTATGTACATCGTACATAATAATATATTAAACCACTGCAGTGTTAACGCCAATCGTTTAGCAGGTATATTTCTTCATAAGACATTACAACCATTTTATTATTAAGACATTAAATCAGTCAAAACATCAAAGTATATAATATTTATTAATTTAAAATCTGATTTCAAACACTAATTCGTTCTGTGAAAATCATCACTGCATTAGCTTGATTATTAACTTTATAAAAAAAAATACCAATTCAAATTGTAAAATTTTATTTAGAGCTCGTTTAAGCACTTGATTTTTTTCTTTTTAGTGTTTGGTATATTCAAGTTATTCAGTCATAATATCTTGACGGAAGCATTTAAAATAAGATTAAATTTTATATCGTTCAATTTCGAAAACATTCAACGAAAATTAACTGTTTGATAAGCATAAGTTACATAGACAAAAGGGTATAAGCTTATAGATTTGTTGTTTTTAATCATACAATCTATACATTAGTGGTACAAGAAGCATGACTGGTTATAAAATAACAAAAAAGACATGTTCGTTTGTTGAAGAAACCATCCAACGACAGCATTTAAGCCATAAACTAGGTTGTCGAGGTTAAAGCAATACCCAACTAATTATAATACCAACCGCGGACTTCTGAGAATACTAAACAGTTTCAATCATTTCGAGAAAAATGTGACGGTCAGATTACTTTATTTTCAAAAATTACTAGAGTTAATCTATTTTGTCCAAAAAAACAAAATGTTATCGTGTCAGGTTATAGATTTCAATTAAACACACTGCATTATTAAATTATTATTATGGACGGGCAAATCAAAGATGTCTGGTGAAACGTAATTAATATATATCTACATTTTAGTGACCTAAAATAAGCTATTGGGACACTAATAAGTTGTAATCGTTATGGCTGACGAACAAAATATTATAGTGCTCCAAAGCAAGTTAAGACTTGAACAGCCCTTGAAATGTGTACACAGAAATTATGTACCTGTCTTGCCTACACAACACGCCATCTAATCTCGAAAATTCTACAGAATTTAATATTCGTATTTTAATTACACTAAAACTATACCTAACCAGTAATCTATAATCGTGGTTATATATTTCAAATGTCTTAAGAGCACAATATCACAGTAAACGTGTTTGTCTTTTTCACTAAACTTAATTTTTGGTGGGGTTTTCGATGATTGTCATTTTAAAGCCAGGTATGTGTAATTATATTATTATTTTATAATTTACGTCTCACGCCCAACATGTATAAAATGTCTGCTTATTCGATTTAGGATGGTATATTTAATGGTGGTATTTAATGTGCCATAAAATTTATTTATTTATTTATTTTATTTTATTCTTCACGAAGATAATGGGACACACTGAACATGTTCGTTTGTTATGCCAAGGTATTAAGTATACCATTAAATCAAATTCTTAAAACAAATTTTTAATTAAATTATTATTCAATTCGTGTTAAAAGATAAGTTTTTTTTAATTTAAAAGAAAACACACTAATTTGCATAACACTCGGGTACATTTCAAATGTTTGAAATTCCTTCGAACATTTTAAAAGCTCGTCTTTTGTTCGATTATTGGTGAATACAGATTCCGTATACTCATTTTTAACAACATGCTCCTTGGTGTACAGACTTGATCACATCTCAACTGTTATATTTACTTTATTTTGTACTTCGTGGCATTATATTATCATAAAAAATATCATTTTAAAGCTCTTAATACAATAATTGTAGGTCCATTTTACTTTGATAGGTCACTTAAGTAAGCTAATAATATTAAACTACAATCATAATTGATATTGGATGGTAACTAATCATATTTCAATAAAAAATATAAGAATATATTTATTTTACAGAATTATATTTACTAAATTCATGTGTTTACAACGCTGTTTTGCAAGCCTGGTCATAAACGAGTTTAAAAGTTAAAGTTAAGTTAATTTTAACTTTTTAACTTAACTTTTTCAAATTTATTTTCATTACTTAACTGATTTTTATTGATATAAACTTAATGAAATCCAAATTAAGTTAGGTTACGAATAATTAAATAATAAATATAATTAAAATATTATTATTGATGATACAAATTGTATATTTATTTTGTATTAATTTTAACCACATTACTGAGTGGTTACATTTGTGTATTAAAAAAAAAATAATAATAAATAAGTAAGTTTCCATATAACTTGTTAACCTAACTGAATTTAAAAAAAAAATAGGATAACTACTCACTTAAAAAATTATCATTAATTTGCCAAGGCTTTGCTTGTGTGAGTGCTATTAAAAGATTTCATTTTCGTGTTAATACTCCGGCAGCAGATTTATTGTATACGATTTGTCTACTGAAATCGTTAAGACAAAAGTGGTAGTGTAGTTTTGTTTTTATTTGTTTGTATAATATGCTAACATACAAAAATATAATGAAAACTTAAGTTGGTTCCTGTACGCATTCATATCGTTTATTGATCCGGCGGGCTAAACAATCAAATACTTTAGGCTGGTATAGCGAAAGTATTATCGGTGCTTAACCTTAAAAAATAATTAAGTTGCCGTCAAAACATTTTCCGAACTTTTCTCGTCAAGAGTCGCGAACAGATGGCGTGTATACGCGTCAAAACAATATCATATATTTTATGGGAATAATAATTGAACGCGTGTACCGTGCACTGGTTAAATACCGTAGCCCGTTTAAGTGCGTCAAAACCCAAACTATTGCGTATGACCGCAGTACGAGACAGTAACGACTGGAATGGATTTCATAATATATAATAATAATAATAATAATAATAATAATAATATTGAAATATCGACACAGAATTTCTTCCCGTTGATAATGACACGTATCGCCCTTTGGCACCACCGAGTCTAAACATATAGACATGTATAATATATCATTCTCTAATCCTGCGATTGCGTACAGTTGGCAGCGGTGGCGGGGCCAGAGGTGGTGTCGTTATTATGTATAACTATTATTATTATTATTATTATTATTATTATTATTAACCCTCTCGCCCGCGTAAAGCGTCACCCTCGTCCTCTCGTCCGACCGCGCTGGCCGGCGAAAGGCGAATACTCACTATACCTACCTGTGAACAGCTAGCTATATACACATAATATGCATAATATTGAAATTATTAATAAAGGCGTCGACGTTTTAAGTCCGGAGGACGTGCCGCGAGGGCGAGACGCTCGGCAAAGACTTGGTTCGTGTGTAGGCTTGTCGTGTGACGTCGTGGCGGGTGGGCTTGCGGTTCACGTGCATCTATACACGCGAGATTATAATATAATTATTATTATCAATATTATGTGTATTATTATAATATTAGAAACGTCGTCGTCGTCGTTAACCGCAGGGGATTCGCTTTGCTAATTACGAGGTGTCTACCGTTAATATGCGTCTCGTCAAAGAGTAAATATTATTATATTAGGTGTATGGTGTGCACAACAAAGCTCCGCGAGCACCTTTACCACACCTAGCCAGCTATATTATGGAGAAAGAGGCCAGGGTGGTTGGCGCTCTGAAATAATATATATGTATTATATATTGTATACCTCTTGTGCAGGTCACTATTGTGCGTTGTTAGCAATTCCGTTTGGGGTGCCGCCGCGAGATCAAACGACGGCCGTGGCGACGGCGACGACGACAACGACGACGACCTCCACCAGCCACTGCAGCCGTTATTAATTGATATATCAAATATTCACGCAGACTACCGCCGATTTCCATCGAAATTGGGTCACCGCCGCCATCGGTCGGTCTCCTCAACCCACCCAATCCGTATATCCGCACCATACACACACCTACGGGTGCGCTGTTCAATAAATCAACCAGCCTCGAAAGTGTATAATAACCCGTGTAGGTAAAGCGCAAAATTATAGTCACCAAACTCACCAGAACTCGCCACCCACCACCCCTACAACGACCACCTGGAAAGGATCCGTTCGTTAATTATTATTGTATAGGTACGTGTATGAATTTCGACCCGTCCTGTACGCGTGACACGTGCAGCAGGTCGTAATCGGTAAAGGTACTGCAGTTATTTTTAAATGAGTTGTATTAGGAAATATTTCATTTTCTTACTAATATGTTTTTTTATTGTAAAAGTTATTATTTTATTTTTATTCAATAAACGAGTTGTAACAAAAAACATTTTGACTTACCTCAGTGTCACAGCTAACATTTCCTTAGGTTGAATACAGTCCCTCATTTTAGTATTCTGCCGCTGAATACTACATTTCAGCCGGTTATGGAGTTCGTCAAAGGATGAAATAGACATGCGGAAATAGTTGAAAAATTTATTTTCATCTGCAAGTAAATCTTCAAATAGCGAGTTAAATGTGCCCATGACATTTCTTCGTTCATTAATTGGGTGCACCCAGTACTTACGAACACGTTGTTTTCTACGTAATCGCAAACGACGGTACAAAAGCCACATGGCAATGATGCGTTTTCGACTCATGTTGAAATCCAACTGAGTTAAAACAGATAAAATATAACTAAACGTAGACGATTCACGGGGGAAAAACCGTCTTGTGTGAAAACAACGTCCGTGCGGAGAAAAATCGTACGAATAAAATCCGCACGGACGAAACCGTCCTGTGTGAAATGGCCCTATGACGTACACATCGGGTGGTTTCCGTTAAAATGTTTTCCAAAACTTGTGTCCTCTGAAAACGATGTTTTTTCTTGACCGTGACGGACGCCGATTACAGCGATGATTATTTTGAATGACTCCATTCGACTTAGATTTATCATAAAGTTTACCTAAATCATATCTGTCGAGTTATTAATACGAAAGTTATCTCGGCACTCGAGTTCGTCGCATATGTATCATATATTTTATCAGTAGCGAATGAGCATTATCAGCTGTTTTGCTAGATTTTTAAATACCTGCACCGTCTCAATAACCACGCTGTACAATATGCATAACACCTGTTCAGCACGATTTTCGGAAGAAAAACGTGACGACCATTGCGCAAAGGCTCTAAGCGTGTGTACTTTGTTCCGCTATACGCTTCCGGAAATATAAAATAGGTCGCCGAACTCGTTCGGGACAGCCGACGACGGTCGCGGTCGTTTCGTATAATATAATACAACGTTGTTATTAGTTATTATTATTATTATTACATCGTGTCCCGGTCGTGCGTTGTCGTTATTATATTATTATTAAGAAACCATATGTTTGCCGGACC